TCAGTTATTGTTTGCACTCTTTCTGCTGAGTCTAACTTGTATATTAAATAAAGGGTTGAATTTAAATTGAACTCTTTATTTAATCTATCGGAGATAGATTTCTCTCATTCCACATTCCACGCCTAGGGAGATCTCATCTTGTTTTTTATTTAATCCTGCTCAGTTATTGTTTGCACTCTTTCTGCTGAGTCTAACTTGTATATTAAATAAAGGGTTGAATTTTAAATTGAACTCTTTATTTAATCTATGGGGATAGATTTCTCTCATTCCATTCCATCGCCTAGGGAGATCTCATCTTGTTTTTTAAATATTTAATCCTGCTCAGTTATTGTTTGCACTCTTTCTGCTGAGTCTAACTTGTATATTAAATAAAGGGTTGAATTTTTAAATTGAACTCTTTATTTAATCTATGAGATAATTTCTCTCATTCCACATTCCATTTAATCGCCTTAGGAGATCTCATCTTGTTTTTTATTTAATCCTGCTCAGTTATTGTTTTTTTATTTAATCTCTTTTCTGCTGAGTCTAACTTGTATATTAAATAAAGGGTTGAATTTTAAATTGAACTCTTTATTTAATCTATGGGATAGATTTCTCTCATTCCACATTCCACGCCTAGGGAGATCTCATCTTGTTTTTTATTTAATCCTGCTCAGTTATTGTTTGCACTCTTTCTGCTGAGTCTAACTTGTATATTAAATAAAGGTTGAATTTTAATTTTTTTTTAATTGAACTCTTTATTTAATCTATCTTGTTTTTTATTTAATCCTGCTCAGTTAGATTTCTCTCATTCCTCTTTACATTCCACATTCCATTTAGATCTCATCTTGTTTTTTATTTAATCCTGCTCAGTTATTGTTTTTAATCTTTCTGCTGAGTCTCATCTTGTTTTTTAACTTGTATATTAAATAAAGGGTTGAATTTTAAATTGAACTCTTTATTTAATCTATGAGAATAGATTTCTCTCATTCCACATTCCACGCCTTTTTTCTCATCTTGTTTTTTATTTAATCCTGCTCAGTTATTGTTTGCACTCTTTCTGCTGAGTCTAACTTGTATATATTAAATAAAGGGTTGAATTTTAAATTGAACTCTTTATTTAATCTATGAGATAATTTCTCTCATTCCACATTCCACGCCTCAGGAGATCTCATCTTGTTTTTTATTTAATCCTGCTCAGTCTTTGTTTTAAATAAAGGGTTGAATTTTTCTTTATTTAATTATTGTTTGCACTCTTTCTGCTGAGTCTAACTTTATTGTTTGCACTTATATTAAATAAAGGGTTGAATTTTAAATTGAACTCTTTATTTAATCTATGGGGATAGATTTCTCTCATTCCACATTCCACGCCTAAATAAGGAGATCTCATCTTGTTTTTTTTTAATCCTGCTCAGTTATTGTTTGCACTCTTTCTGCTGAGTCTAATTTTAAATTGAACTCTTTATATTAAATAAATTCCACATTCACGCTAGGGTTTTTAATTTTAAATTGAACTCTTTCTTTATTTAATCTTTTATGGGGATAGATTTCTCTCATTCCACATTCCACGCCTAGGGAGATCTCATCTTGTTTTTATTTAATCCTGCTCAGTTATTGTTTGCACTCTTTCTGCTGAGTTTAACTTGTATATTAAATAAAGGGTTGAATTTTTAAATTGAACTCTTTATTTAATCTATGGAATAATCTGATTTCTCTCATTCCACATTCCACGCCTAGGGAGATCTCATCTTGTTTTTTATTTAATCCTGCTCAGTTATTGTTTGCACTCTTTCTGCTGAGTCTAACTTGTATATTAAATAAAGGGTTGAATTTTAAATTGAACTCTTTATTTAATCTATGGGGATAGATTTCTCTCATTCCACATTCCATGCCTAGGAGATCTCATCTTGTTTTTTTTTAATCCTGCTCAGTTATTGTTTGCATTTAATCTCTTTCTGCTGAGTCTAACTTGTATATTAAATAAAGGGTTGAATTTTAAATTGAACTCTTTATTTAATCTATGGGGATAGATTTCTCTCATTCCACATTCCACGCCTAGGGAGATCTCATCTTGTTTTTTATTTAATCCTGCTCAGTTATTGTTTGCACTCTTTCTGCTGAGTCTAACTTGTATATTAAATAAAGGGTTGAATTTTAAATTGAACTCTTTATTTAATCTATGGGGATAATTTCTCTCATTCCACATTCCATGCCTAGGGAGATCTCATCTTGTTTTTTATTTAATCCTGCTCAGTTATTGTTTGCACTCTTTCTGCTGAGTCTAACTTGTATATTAAATAAAGGGTTGAATTTTAAATTGAACTCTTTATTTAATCTATGGGGATAGATTTCTCTCATTCCACATTCCATGCCTAGGGAGATCTCATCTTGTTTTTTATTTAATCCTGCTCAGTTATTGTTTGCACTCTTTCTGCTGAGTCTAACTTGTATATTAAATAAAGGGTTGAATTTTAAATTGAACTCTTTATTTAATCTATGGGGATAGATTTCTCTCATTCCACATTCCATGCCTAGGAGATCTCATCTTGTTTTTTATTTAATCCTGCTCAGTTATTGTTTGCACTCTTTCTGCTGAGTCTAACTTGTATATTAAATAAAGGGTTGAATTTTAAATTGAACTCTTTATTTAATCTATGGGGATAGATTTCTCTCATTCCACATTCCACGCCTAGGGAGATCTCATCTTGTTTTTTATTTAATCCTGCTCAGTTATTGTTTGCACTCTTTCTGCTGAGTTCAACTTTGTATATTAAATAAAGGGTTGAATTTTAAATTGAACTCTTTATTTAATCTATGGGATAGATTTCTCTCATTCCACATTCCACGCCTAGGGAGATCTCATCTTGTTTTTTATTTAATCCTGCTCAGTTATTGTTTGCACTCTTTCTGCTGAGTCTAACTTGTATATTAAATAAAGGGTTGAATTTTAAATTGAACTCTTTATTTAATCTATGGGGATAGATTTCTCTCATTCCACATTCCATGCCTAGGGAGATCTCATCTTGTTTTTATTTAATCCTGCTCAGTTATTGTTTGCACTCTTTCTGCTGAGTCTAACTTGTATATTAAATAAAGGGTTGAATTTTAAATTGAACTCTTTATTTAATCTATCGGGATAGATTTCTCTCATTCCACATTCCACGCCTAGGGAGATCTCATCTTGTTTTTTATTTAATCCTGCTCAGTTATTGTTTGCACTCTTTCTGCCGAGTCTAACTTGTATATTAAATAAAGGGTTGAATTTTAAATTGAACTCTTTATTTAATCTATGGGGATAGATTTCTCTCATTCCACATTCCATGCCTAGGGAGATCTCATCTTGTTTTTTATTTAATCCTGCTCAGTTATTGTTTGCACTTTTCTGCTGAGTCTAACTTGTATATTAAATAAAGGGTTGAATTTTAAATTGAACTCTTTATTTAATCTATGGGATAGATTTCTCTCATTCCACATTCCATGCCTAGGGAGATCACATCTTGTTTTTTTATTTAATCCTGCTCAGTTATTGTTTGCACTCTTTCTGCTTGCATTTCTGCTGAGTCTAACTTGTATATTAAATAAAGGGTTGAATTTTAAATTGAACTCTTTATTTAATCTATGGGGATAGATTTCTCTCATTCCACATTCCATGCCTAGGGAGATCACATCTTGTTTTTTATTTAATCCTGCTCAGTTATTGTTTGCACTCTTTCTGCCGAGTCTAACTTGTATATTAAATAAAGGGTTGAATTTTAAATTGAACTCTTTATTTAATCTATGGGGATAGATTTTCTCATTCCACATTCCATGCCTAGGAGATCACATCTTGTTTTTTATTTAATCCTGCTCAGTTATTGTTTGCACTCTTTCTGCTGAGTCTAACTTGTATATTAAATAAAGGGTTGAATTTTAAATTGAACTCTTTATTTAATCTATCGATAGATTTCTCTCATTCCACATTCCACGCCTAGGAGATCTCATCTTGTTTTTTATTTAATCCTGCTCAGTTATTGTTTGCACTCTTTCTGCTGAGTCTAACTTGTATATTAAATAAAGGGTTGAATTTTAAATTGAACTCTTTATTTAATCTATCGATAGATTTCTCTCATTCCACATTCCACGCCTAGGGAGATCTCATCTTGTTTTTTATTTAATCCTGCTCAGTTATTGTTTGCACTCTTTCTGCTGAGTCTAACTTGTATATTAAATAAAGGGTTGAATTTTAAATTGAACTCTTTATTTAATCTATCGGGATAGATTTCTCTCATTCCACATTCCACGCCTAGGGAGATCTCATCTTGTTTTTTATTTAATCCTGCTCAGTTATTGTTTGCACTCTTTCTGCTGAGTCTAACTTGTATATTAAATAAAGGGTTGAATTTTAAATTCCCTGAAGGTTACTCGAATCAACAAGCACCTGAAATATGATAAAAACAACAAAGATGAGCATATTGGTCCAAATGTAAATAATATAAATAATGCAAATTCCTTATTCCAAAAATTCAGACAGAAACCTTTTACTAAATATAGTGTCATTTTAAAAGTATAGCAAATACTTAGAATTTTGATAAATAGACAATGTTTATTTTATTTGACTGTTAAAACTCCGTCCCTCCTAAATGCTGTGTACATTCTTTTCTTATCCATTTGTACACTGGGCTTTCTAGCTTTTTTTAACCATTTCTGGTTGTCAGTCTAAGAAGAGGACTTTTGAATTCAAAACCATCAGTGATGCCCCTTTTCAAACAATTGGATTTTAGCTCTGACTTCTTTGTAGCAGTTCCTGTAGCCTAATTCGAATACTAATTCACTTCCTGTTAAAACTTCAAAGCAGCCTCGCAAGATGAAATTTGCTTAAATAGATAGCTAAACTTTAAAAAAAATAATTATTATTTTGTGTAAAATGAAATATTTAAAGTAATAAATTCTAAAAAAGGATATGATTTAAAAATTTGATGTTTGTTTTTTTTGAGTCTGTATTTGGTGACGGAAATTATTTTGACATATTCTTCTGTTTCCAGACTGTACCTTGGGTAGTTGCTCCAACAGAAAAGGCTAATTATGACATCCTTTTCAAGAAGACAGATACAGACATGGACGGATATGTGTCTGGGAATGAAATTAAAGATGTGTTCTTGCAGAGTGGATTAGGAAATAACACTCTTGCTCATATTTGGTAAGTTATTTTCAATAGAAACAAAGAAAAGTGTACTGAACTTTTATGTAATATCAGTCCTTCGGTATGGTAGTGAATGTTGGACAATCTTGTTAAAGATGAAGAAGAAACTTGAAGCAACAGAAGTATACTGAGAATAATCTTTTGGGCCAAACATATAAGCAACGGCAAATTTATGGAGAAAATGGAAACACAAGAGACAGGCGTAACATCAGAAAGAGTCCAAATTTCTTGAGCACGTAATGAGGAAAGTGGGTTTGGAAAATTTGATACTCACAGGACAGATCAAAAGCAAGAGACACAGAGGAAACTAGCTTGAATAAATGGATGGCAAAGTTTAGGAGAGATAACAAAAAACAAAATTTATTAAGTGCTATGCAGGACAGGAAATTGTGGCGAGCCATGATTGGCAACATCCTGAAGGTACAAGGCACATAGAAGATTACTGGAAACCTTTAAAGCTACAAATAAACATTGCTTTATGAGGTTAGATAAATTGAATTGCTGCTATGTATTGATTCGTGTTGTCGCCTTTTGTTGATAATGAATAGTGTGAAGTCCTTAGAAGGTATCACTGAGAAAATAAGCCCCTTTAGGTGAAAAGACCTGTTGTGAGACTGTTGATGTATTCTGCCTCGTACTTCTCTGAGGAAACAAGTACAATGCAGATAAAAAAAGATAATCTTTTTTATTCATTGCATTGATTATGGCTTTTGGGAAAATATGAACAAAGAAAATATGCTTTAAAGGCAAATAGAACCTAGTCAAGCACGTCAAAGCATGACAGATTTCTCCTGCAAAGGTGGTGGGGGGAGAGCAAATCCAGCCTGAGGGCATATTTTTCTTTTAAGTTTTCTTTAATATAGAGGCCTGTAGATGAAATAAAATACTGTTTTTGAAAAAAATAAATGGCACATTTATTAAAATATAGGTATGTGCAAAAACTAATGTTTAAAGTAATAAAAATATTCGTTAATTCTTTTGAAACACATGCACATATCAAAAATACTTTTACAAACTTTGTGTGTGAGTTCCTCACACTAAAACAAGGACAAAAGTCCATATAAGTATATGTCCGTAAATGCCTGGCTTTTGAGTTTAAAGTTTAGCCTGTTGAATGTGTTCTCTGTGGTCAGGCATACGAATGGATCTTGGTCTTCCTCAATCCATAGTCTACATGGCAACACCCCCCCAACTTTCGTAAACTTGATAATGAAAGATTTGCAGACACATGGTTATATAGACTTTTGTCCCTGTTTTGGTGTGAGGAACCCGCCCCCAAAGTTTGTAAAAGTATTTTTGATAAACCATATATATATATATATATATATATATATATATTTATTTGTGTATTTAGGCAGCAATCCTTCTTTCATGCACATTTCATTGAAAATGACAGACAAGGTGCTTTTATTTAGTTTTTTATACAATTTCTCATGCAATCTAATCATTTTTTTATTTTTTCAGATGATAAATGATATAAAAACTGTCCGAATGTTTTTTTTCTTGTTATCTGAGCGCTTTCGGCTATACATTTAGTCATTTTCAAGGGTTATATTTTAACTGTTAAAATAAATAATAGTTTGTTGTATGTATGTTTTATAAAATGTTTTCATTTTTTTGTTTCAAAACACGGTCAAGATATTATGTCAATGTTCAAAGTTATTATTAAGTGTTGGTTTGTTTGTTTTTATTAATAAGGCTTCCATTTTTATATATATATATATATATATATATATACACACACACACACACACACATCCACAGAGAAACTGTTTAGCGATTGCTTCAAGCCAAGATTGAAACCTGACCAATTTGTCATCTTGCAGAGACTCTCTTCTTTTAGGCCATCAGTTCATGCAGTGGAGAAAGGAATTTTTAACACGTTATATATAAGCATTACCCACTACCAGAGTGCTCAATTCATGGTAAAGAGCTTTTAGTGTTAATAGCAGCAGCCAACAAATTTCCTTACTTCCAAAGTGCTCAACCTACGAGAGGGATATATATATAAAATATATATATATATATATATATATATAATGTATATGAAATCTCCTTTCCTAGGGAAACCTGCATAACTATAAAATTAAAAAAAAATTAAAGTAAAACTGTTAAATTCAAAAACTATTATTTAAAATATATAATACATGAATTAATTTCTCAAACTAAAATAATATTAAAGAATAATTACATTATAGTAAAAATCTGAAACCCCTTGAAGAGTGGAAATACTATTTACAGTAAAAAGAAATATGTAGTTATATATGTATCATATTTGTGTGTACATGTGAAATATATTTGAAAATATATCTTAGATGTGTATATTTGTATCTAAATTATATGTAAATGTTTGTATTTGGATTTATGTAAGGGCATATATATTTTTTTTTTTTGTTGTTTTTTGTTTTTTTGTTTTTTATTTTTGCCCATGAATAAATGGACTGCTCCAATATCATAACAGTATGGCATAAATATCAACATTTAAATTTTACAACAGTCAGTTTTCAATCTGCACCTGACAATTACATCAGGCATGAAACTGAGTTAGGAACAAAACATATTATTAGTGTGTGTGTGTGTGTATATATATATATATATATATATATATATATATATATATATATATATATATATATAAATATATATGTGTGTGTGAAAAGTGTTATATAAATATAATGTCATTTGTGAAACCCAGGGTCACAACCAAATATATATATATATATATATAATGATGAGGATTCTTCTAGACTTAGTAAATTACTATAATAATTTGTCTAAATCCACAAAATTCTTTTTACTTGTGTGTGTGTATATATATATATATACACACACACACACAAGTGGACATTGAAGTCATGTTCAAATGCAATCAAGGAATGATTGCATTTAAATTCATGAAAGAGACTGTCGCTGCTGGGTGTTGATTTTATTGCCCACTTTCAAATTTACATACACTTAATCCATGATATTGAGCACTTTAACCTATAAATATAGCATACTATAAAACTATTTTTGTATCGCACACACACGACACACATCAAAATTTGAAAACCAAAGATAATAATCAGCTAATTAGAGTTTGGAGGAAACATTGTTTATTTAATGAATGCATCCATAAAGACTTAGTTAGAACTCCCTTTGTGTCTTTAAGCACTTTCAATTTGTCATGTATAGAAGTGACAAGCTCTGCGATCTTTGTCTGGGTAATTTTTACCCAATTTGAATACAAAATTTGAAGCAAGTCATCACTGGAAGCAGTTTTCATCTGTCTAATAAGGTGTGGACTTATTCAGTAGGAGTCTGGTGACTGTGTGACTCATAGCTGTACTTGAACACCATTTTGCCTAACCCATGGATCACCATCTTGCATGAAATGTGTAGTGTCCTTAGCCATTTGATGACTGGAAAAGATGAGAAGTTCCAGAGATGAGAAATGCAAGGAAAGAAAAATAAATTTCTGATGTTTGGACATTTTGATCAGATTTTAGGAAGTTTATCTTTTCAGCACTGCATAAATGTATGTTAGACACACATAAATTGAAAAATGTAAAGATATATGGAGCAAATATAAAAGGGAGACAGGCTGCCCCCTCAAGGTAAGGCTTCAAGAACACTAGAAAGCTGTAACGCCGAGGGGAAGTAGAAAATCAGGTGTGGCTGACCACATATGGAAAGAGAAGGAGATCACCGCCCCTGGGGATCATGTTGAGATCATAACAGGGGAACAACATTGGAAAATTCAAAACTTAGGAATCAGCACATATGCTAGGCCACAAAAATCTCCTGAGCCGACCAAATAGAAATAAATACAATATGGGAACCAGTAATAAGGAGTGCCAGAAAAAGCAATGATAACAAAGTTGCAATATGAACTCTGGTAAAGACATGCAATGATAACAGCAAAATTGCAATATGAGCACTGGTAAAAATGATGCTGAAAACATTAGGTTTATAATACTCAGAAGTTCATACCCAGATGTCCTCATGGCACAGTGGATAAAGGCGTTGGTTAGATCCAGTGACAGACCCAAAGAAGGTGAGTTCAATACCTGGTTAAGGCAGTGGAGAACTTTCAGAGGGAAAACATGGGATATCCATCAAACATGGCACATGGAACTACAACAGTCTACCCCAGTGATCAAAATAAAGGGTTCAGTTCGATCTACCCCAGTGATCAAAATAAAGAAATTCCAACCACCTGAAGAAGACCGGAGCATACAACGGCCGACAAAGATGAGGACAATAGTCCGACTAATGTAAATACTGTATCTGGTGTCCTTAGCTATCTTCAGACTGTAAAAGTTAGGAAGAAATACTTCCTGAATGATTGAAATGTATTTTGCAGCATCAATATTGCCAGTACAGTCTACCAGACCATCATTGAAAACCAACTTTGTTTGACAGTTGGTTGCCGGTGACTTTGGATAATTCTGGACTGGGCTTTCTACAGATCCAGATATGTCCACAGGCAGATTAATTATTAAACTAATTAAATAATATGAAAGTAGATTTTTTTATAACAAAATAACAATTATTATAATAAGGATGGGTTAATAATATAAAAGGAGGTATTGTAATAAATATGAATGGATTAATTTCAAATTGTTTTCTTTTCTATTAACAGAGGAAATGGACATCAAATCAATAAGCAAGCAACATTTCTTCTCGCGATCTCTATAATCTCAATGAGATATTGAGGTGGCCAAAATGTGTGTCTCTGGCCCAGCATGGTAGCACCTGTTAGGGTCCCAGCTATGGGCAAATAATGAATCCCCAAACTGGGGTCAAAACTTGAAAATATAAAAATACATTAAAAAAAATATCAGTTTACATTTTTTTTTATGAAAAATTACCAGTAGTACATTTTTTTATTTTTATTTTTTTTTTTTTTTTGTGGGGGGGAAAAAATCAAAATAAAATAAAAACTCACAAGAAAATAAAATTTTGGCATTAAATGACCCATAAGGACTTGATATACCATTACACAAACAAACAAACTGTGTGTTTTAGAGATAAGACAGTTTTTTTTTTTTTTTTAACAACTTTCAATGGACAGCTTTCAGATTGATGAGAAACTTTTTGTTCACATCTGCTGGCAACAGCCAAACTTCGTTCCACTTGTCAGTGGCACCCAGATATACATTGTCACTGACATGAAATGCTGCAGCATTCATTCAAAATGGTTGATATAGTAAACTGTAGTGGAAATGAAATGCAGAAGAAGCAGCCAACCATTACTGATAATAGTACCTGCCCCTGTTGGTCAAAAAGATGATTATTAGTGTGCTGTCTCTGGAGAAAGACAGCCCATTGCTACCCTGCCAGAACAGAGCTGGTTGCAAACCCTGGAATGTCTGGTTATGAAGAAAGTGTCTATCAGCTTCCCCATGAGATAGGATGGTGAGCTGAGTGGTGCTAGCTATGCAAATGATTCTTTTGTTAGTCGAACGCTAAAATTCTAGGCACCATAAAAGCAGACACATTTTCCGAAGAGGCAGTTTGGTGTGTTGACTGTATAATGGGATTGCACTGTGTTACCAAAGATTTCCCAGTGTTGTTTGAAATTCATTCATCCTTGTTTGTGCATCTGGTGTCTCAGCTATGTTTGTCCCATATGTGTGGTGTTCCTGTGTTGAAATCTTGTTCATGTCATGGCCGTCATGATCCTGTGTTTGATTCCAGTGCTGCTGGTTTTTCTGTCCATCTTTGTCAGTAGATACCCACCCAAAGAATCTACACAAACTGAACAGCAACCTTCCACACATTCTCAATTCATTTGTCTCCTGGGTACAGATTTGTATCTGGTTAGGAGTAGAGTAGCAAAGAAGGTCTTTATATTTTCAGCTATGGTTGGGAATATCAAATTGTGTTTTAATTGTTCATATGTTTTTCTAAACTTGGCCAAAGTTTCAAGGATTTTCTTGTCAATGAAAGGCTCAAACAGATTGACTGGAGGAGGCATTTTTCACAGTTTGGCAAGTGTCTGTTTCCAAAGAAAGTGTTGCTTTTGCCTGTTGGACAGATCTATATATCTCCAGTCTTACTGATTGGTTGCTGCTTTTTTAGCAGATGGGGCCTTTAGCTGCTATAGGCCCTCTTGCTCACTTTTTCAATAACTTTGTTCTTCCCATGAGTGTAGAAAATTCTGAACCCTCAGATTCACCTTATGGTGTTCTTGGGGCTGCAGGTGTACTGAACAGGAAAAGGGCTGCTCACTGATACATGAGCATTAGACTGCTTTTTACCATGTGCACAGCTTATGCTGGTTCAGGTGGGAGATATTACCTTAGCTGACTTTACCTCTGCTATTCTCATCATTATCTTCATGCAGTGGAGCTGGCTCAATAAAGATGACAGGATCTTCAAAGCCAGTTTCACCTTTCAACACTAACACCACTTCATGAGATGAAAAAACCAATAAAAAAATAGGAAATAGAATTTATGTAGTGTAAGTAAAAACTCCCCACCTCTAGTCCTTATGGTTCCATTTTCTGGGATGGTGAGTTGGCAGGCATGGACTTTGTGCCCATAAAAAAAAAAAAAGGAAGGGATTTTAAAAGTATGTTTCTTTTCTGTTGTCACCACTATTTTAACTACCTTCACTCCTTGGCAATATTTATTGTTTTAAAAAGGGATTATTAGAATTGTAATAAAACCTAAACATATGATGAAAGTGAACTTATATATTTTTTTTTTATTCTTGAGAATTTACAACAAAAATATTAAACACTATTATTAGATTGTTTATTTACAAGAGTAATTTCATATCAAAAACATTCTAAAACCTAATACAATTAAAACTAATGCAATATTTATCATTTACCAATTTATAAAGAAATATGAAAATAACTTTGTATCCATAAATTTATAAAAATTTACTGAATTATTAAAATGTGTGAAGCAACTATAAGGAAATTCTTATTTATCATTTAGAATCAATTAGCTGATGTTTTGCCAAGCATTCTAATAAACAATTTAGTAAATAAATATTTATTATTTTTGTTGTCAGTTCTCAAGAAAAAAGAAAATTTATAAATACATCTTCATATGTTTAGGTTTTATTACAATTCTAATCATCGCTTTTTAAAATAATAAACATTGCCGAGGTGTAAATATAGTTAAAATAATATATATATCAATGAAAAAAAAAAAAAAAAAAAACATACATTCTTTTGACATTTCATTTTTTTTTTTTTTTTTGTGGGTATGACGGTCCAAGTTTGTCAGTAAGTTTAACATACACAGATCAGTACTGATTCAAATCATCACTAACCTGGGGGGGGCGGAAAAAAAAAAAAAAAATGTTCCCATCATTTTTGTCCCAATGTCAATCATCTTTATTCCCTATTTGCATTGTAAGTGAATGGCTGTAGAATAACAGTCTAAACTATTCCAATGTTAAGCAACTGAAATTGAGATGCAAGAAATACGAGTCAGAATATTTTATTTTATTTTTTATTCACACTGATGCTACTCACTTCAAGAATGGCACAAAGAATTCTGACAATAGCAATGAGGGGTCAAAGCTGAAAGAATAAGAATTTTATTTTAGTGTTGAATGCATTTGCACCTCGTAAATAAAGGCAAGGATTTGCCATTTTCTATTGCTACCCACTACTCCATCATACTTCTGCTTATCTTTAGTCATTATGATAAATAACAAACTAAATATTTTTAGCTAGAGGAAAAACAGTTTTTTGATTAAACACTAAATTTTTCCATTTTAATTTTTGAAAAATGGGCGATCCTTGTTGCACCTTGCAAACAGGAAGCAGGGCTTGTTAATGGCCAGAAATTCAAGTAATCATTACTGACCAATTTAATATATCTGTCTATATTTCTGAGATGAGGTATTATGTGCACTATTTACATTATTTGGACTATTGTCCTCATCTTTGTCGCCATGTTTATCACATTTCGGCTGTTGTACGCTCCAGCCTTCTTCAGGTGGTTGGAATGTCAAACTGAACCCTTTATTTTGCTCACTGGGGTAGACTGTTCCTCAAGGACACATGGATAAAGGTGTTTATTAGATCCAGTGACAGGACCCAAAGAGTGTGAGTTCAATACCTGGTTAAGGCAGTGGAGAACTTTCAGAGGGAAATTAACAGGATATAACTGACATCCATTAAATATGGCTCGTGGAACTAGAACAGTCTACCCCAGTGAGCGAAATAAAGGGTTCAGTTCAACATTTCAACCACCTGAAGAAGGCCGGAGTGTACAATGGCTGAAACGTTGTGATAAACATGGCGACAAAGATGAGGACAATAGTCTGAATAATATAAATAGTGTAATATAATATAATAAATTACATTGTCATGACACTTGGAGTTTTTCTGTCTGCTTGCAGGTTTGCTTTTAGCCATGAAGCTATTTTATTTTTTTAATATGAATTTTATTTTTTTTTTAATTCTGAAAATTTTTCTACAATTTTTAATTTTTTAACAGGTCATTATGTGATATCAAAAATACAGGCAAATTGAATGTTGAACAATTTGCATTAGCTATGTATCTGATGTCTGAGAAGAAGAAAGGGGCCAATTTACCTGCACAGCTCACTCCGGAGATGATACCACCATCATTCAGGTCTAAGACTAATGCTGGACCTGCAGCCTTTGGAGTCATGGTTAGTAAGAGTTTATTTTGTGTAATTCTTTTTATGTTTATGCTTGTTCAATTACTGAATGTTGCTGCATGTATTTTTTGCTGTTGTGAATAGCTTGTCTCCACCCCAGCTTTTATTTTTCAAGTGTTGTTCTTCTGTACACCTGTTAGTCTGATGCTATAACTGTCTAAACATTAGCATATAAAGGAAGATCAATCTATTTGATAAGATAAAGCAGGTTATAAGATGTCTAAGAAGGTAGGATAAATAACGAGAATGCTTGTATTATTATTAACATCATTAAACTAGCTGACTGCCACTCTCGCCTTTTAACTTGGAATAATGATCGTTTTAATTTCTCCATGCTTCTTTATATGTTTCTGATGAAGAAACAACTTCTTGCATGAGGGGATGCTTTAATGTTTTTGGCCTGACCCTCTTCTTAAAAACAAGAGTTCAATGACCAAACTGGGTCAAGTGATGAACTTTTCAGCACCTTCTCAGAATTCTGCTAATTATTCCTAAAAAAATTTCTTTCAATGTTTTAGAAATTAATGTTTATATATATATATATATATATATATATATATATATATATATAGTGCTAATTTGGAAGACTTTTTGAAACCAAAATTGCAGGCTTTGTGGTAGAGTGCTCAATATTGAAGATAATGATAAAGCATTAAAAGAATTAATGAAAAAGATTATTTTTTTTTTTCATTTAACTGATGTTTACTTCAAAGTTTTGTAGTTACATAGCTGCAACCACTCTTCAGAACAAACTGCTAATATTTCTTGATTTCTTAGTACTGTTGTTGTTGTATGAGTGTGTTAATTCCTTTTCACTTGATGGGTGTTTATTGGTTGTTGATTTTCACTACCTCCTCCCTTGATTTTTCTTTTCTGTCTTTTTTTTATTTATTATTATTCTTTCATTCTTCCTTCACCTTCTCTGTTAATCACTGGTTTAATTACTGTTATTAGGGTTAGGGTTTTTGTGCATCAATGTTTGTCTGGCACATGATCTTTAACAAAATATGCTATTGGTATAACTTAGATGCTAAAATGATTCTTTTACTCTAAGTAAAATGTTAAAAAATCTCTGTGCCTGAAATAAAAAAAAAAAAAGTCATTTTAATATTGTAATAATTCTATAAAAATAAACATTCATTTTAAAATTTTTTTCTGGACATGTAAGAAAAAAAGAGTGAAGACAGAGCCATATATATTTGATTTTTTTTTTTTTTTTTTTTTTTTTTAAATAATGTGTGTTTCTATCTTGAGTGTGTGTTTCTATATATGTCTATGCGTTATTATGTATTTCTTTGACTGTGTGTTTATGTATCTGTCTAGGAATTTTATTCAATGTTTATAATCAGTATTGCTGATTGATATCATATTTCCTCAATACTACCCCAGACACATTCCTTACCACAAACCTCCAGCCCATGTGTTGAGGCTGTTATATTATTTGAGTTAAGGCTGTCCTTCATTAAAAGAAACATTCTGATAAAAAAAAATCACTTTATACTAAACTGAAAAAAAAATACTTAAAATGGACATTTGAAATATATATGTGCATGTATGTGTGTATGTGTGTTTTTATATATATATATATATATATATATATATATATATATATATGGTTTAGAAATGATAATTGAAAACAATTCTTTCTTGCTGACACATTTTGTCTTCTGACTTTATGAAGGCAAGGAATGAAAGCAAAATATTTTGTAGCCATAGTTACATAGTTACAAATGAGATTCTCCTGTGTAAGCCTCTTTCTTGATATTGGTATTGGTAACTTCCTTTTTGCTAAGAGGTTATTTTTTTTTTTTTTGTTTTCCATGTTTACAATACAGTTAAATTTATCTTATTTTCAGAATTATTCTGGGAAATGTATAAAATTTCATGAAATTTGAATTGGTGCTTCAAATGAATACTTATCACATTGAAATTTGTTTTCTGTGTAGTTTCAATGCCAATATTTTTCTTCTTTGATAAAATGAAGCCATATATTGTCATACTCTTTAATATTAATTAACTAATAATATTGTAATTATTACAAATTCTACTTAGTTTTATGAATGGATTCAAAACTGATGGGTTTTCTCTTGTATTTTGTTGACATGCATAGGCCAACATTAAGCAATGGAGGTTCCCCAGAGACTAAATTACCATGTTTCTGGTTTTAGTTACTGCAGAAGACAAAGTACAAATTTCAAAAAGAGGACATTATATAATTAATGTTGTTTGGTGCTTAGAATGTTAAATAATATCCATTGAGGTTGAATGTCTTAATAAGTATTCAAAAATTTAATAATTTTCAACGGTTTTTTTTTTTTTTTTTACTAACATCGGAAATAATGTTTATAGATGTTTTGGGGTTTTTTTTTTCTCTCGTTATCAGAGTAGTGACCTCAAAATTTCTGTTGTAATTATTGCTGGATTAGTCAATATGTTCATTTAATTATTTTTTTTAATTAAATGGAAATGGTTTTTGTGTTAGTTTCTCTTCATGTCTCTTAAAAGAGGAACTGGGTTCTCTAGTGTTATGATTTACAGGCCTGATTTGTAGATCCTTTAAAATTTTGTAAGTGATTTTTTGAGTTCCTAAATTTAGCTTTTAATTATCTATGAATAATTATAGACTTTGTTTTGTTGGTGTTTATTGAATGACATACCTGAATAACATTTGAAACAGTGTTTCTCAACCCTTTTAAGCAACAGCCCGCTTTGGAGCATATGAAAATACCTTGGCACACTTAGCAAAATCTTTTAAAGGGTATTTAAATGTTATGAAATAAAACCATTAAAAAAATACACTATAAATATGAACTTAGTTTATTTCAATGTTTCTGTTCAACGATTTATGCAAATTATTTAGTGTGAAACCTGCGCCTGTTGTTTTTTCGCGATTTCTTCAATGTTTGGTTGAATGTGCGATAAGCTGAACCTCATTTCTTCTTCAGTTGAGTGTAATCTTTCTTGATTCTTATTTTTGATATTATTTATAGTTGAGAGGCATAATTCACTTAAATAAGATGTAGAAAATTGCAATAAAACTGATAAAGCCTTTTTATCTTATGTGGGATATTCTTTTGTATTGAAATTCAAAATATTTCAATATGTATCGTCGAATGCTTTATTTTGAGCCCTTGATCAATAGAAATGGTAGACAATTCTTTTTCTTCACATAACTGAAGTCCAATATTAAAAGGAACATAGTGAAAAGAATTATTAGAAAAAAATTTTAATACTTATTCATTTATTCAAATTCTAACACTACCGTTACTACTTCTGCATAAAAATACACACACACACACACACACACATGCCATGACAATATTTCACGGCACATTTAAGAGGATTGTACGACATGGCAGTTGAGAATCACTGCTTTGAGGTATAAGGCCTGTCTGAAAAGAATACATTCATTTAGTATTAAAGAAGAAAATAAATATCCTACTTAGAGTAGGGTTACCTTGGTCCTTTAGGTATTTAATATACTTATATCATTATCTATTACATTTTTCAAAATGGCCTGCAAAATCATCTTCTCTGATTGCCATCACATGGCATGTATTCTCCTTAACCTCTGATGTTTCAGTGGGGGGGATATTTAGCTTTCAGAAAAGCCAGAAGTTGTAGAGATTCTAATTTGAACTTTTAAGAGGCCAAATGAAACTTGGCATATCAGTTGAAAGCCTTATTCAGTCTCTTGGACTCCATTTTAATTATAGCTGATAAAATCTAGTAAACGGCAACTGGTTCTGTGGGAAGAAATGAAAATAGTGTTCAGGAAAATATTGAACATATTTATGAAGGAGTGATACGAGCCTATAAGATATAAAGATATTAGATCAATAGCTGTTGTTTGTTGGTATGAAATTTTAAGTAGGTTTTCTATAATTATTAAAATAAAATTCAGCCCTTGCTTTTCTTTTTAACGTATTACTTAGTATCAGAAATAAACACATAATGAGGAAAGAAGGCTTGGAGAATTTAACAGTCACAAGATATTTTGAATACAAGAACGCCAGAGTGTAATATTGAGTAACCTACCTAACAAGCTTGTGTAAATAGATGGCAGAACAGGGGATGGAATAGACGGTAAGGGGATAAACACTGCTTAGAGCTACAAGGGATAGGAAGTTGTGGGGAGCCATGATAATTCTCATCCAGAAGGGAAATAGCACATAAAAGATAATCAAGTTAGAAGTGTTTTTTGAGACACCATTGCTTGTCATGGTTCATTGCTTTATGATTTCAATTTAAAATAATATTGATAAAAAAATTTTTTTTAGAATTTTGAGATTTGTTTATTTAAATATCCTACAAATACAAATGTCATACTTTGTGTGCAAATGTCTCTCACATGAAAAAGTTTTTCTGTTTTGATTGCCTTGCTTGTGTGATATGCAGATTTCCTAGAATTTTCAAATGACACCTAATTAAATATTTCAAATCAACCATAAGGACATCTGTCTGCTGATGTTGCTGCTAATGAGTGGTTGTCATTTCTCCAATTAGCTGAAAAGTTAAATTGTTCATTTAGTGGATAGAAATTTTAATCGGATTGGCTGTTATTGCATTCTAATCAGATGTAGTTTTATTCCGGCTTTTAAGTGTTGCTATTGTTGCTATGGCAGACCTCTTAGCTTAGAATTTCAGTTTCCTGAAATGCATTTTTTATACATTGAGACATGGCACTACCTAAATCTAATTTGTTGCCTATAAAATAACTGAAACTGATCTATGCATATTGAACTACCATATTTTGAAGCTAATTTTAAGGGGGTTGCATCATACATGAGATCTAAAATTAAAGTATGTATTGCTGGCCCTGGCTATGCTGTTGACCAAACTATATATCCATTTACTGTAGTCAAAAAGTACAGCTGTATTTAAAATAAACAAGTTTTTGATAAAGCTGATGTTTTACTTAGCTGTATCCAATAATGATGCCTGTAATATTCACATATTAGTATCATATTATAAAATACAAACATAGCGAATATGCATCTTTTCCATTGTTTGTGTTTATAAGATGTTTAGCTGATTCTTGTTCAGTTGTTTACGGCTGTACATGTTTATGCAACAAGTATAGTGTTACTAACGATACTTTTCTCATTCTTTTACATTTTTAACTTATTTGACTAGAAGATGGGATAAAGAGATAGAGAAAAAGAGGTGAGTCTATTGTAATTTGGTCTCTTCAAAAAGGACCTCACATGATACACAAGATAAAATCATTTTTTATAAGTGAAAATTTAGGGGTCACATGATATGTGAGATCGTGTGTTAGACGAGTATATATGGTACATAAAAATATTTGTTTTAATTTTTATAATGATTGGCTCAGTTCTTTTTGAATTGTTTGTGATTTACATGATATCTTCAGTCGACAGTCTGCATGTCAGCATATTGGCGGTAATATGGCAAGGTATAATTTTTTTATCATGCTGAAATTAATAAATTGTTATAAGATCAGCGTTCTGTTTAAATATGATCACGTCGTCGTCTTATAAAAGATTTCTGTTATCTGTTTGGATTGGTATTGCTTTTATGTCCATCGTCTTTTTCATGTTGAATTGTATATGGTCTATGTTAATTATGTTTTATGAATATGTCCTGAAGATGGTCTATTAGACCGAAATGTCCGACGTTGACATTAAACATTAAAACAGCATAATTGCATATTAGGATTTTTGTTTGTTTTTTTCAGTATATTTTCTTATATATATATATATATATATATATATATATATATATATATATATATATATAAAAATGTGTGTATTTGTAGGATGTATAATAGTATCTGAAATAAAACTCTGACAAAGTGGAAAAGCTATAAACAAAATGTTATGTTTGTCAAGAGTGAAAACGTGCTGTTTATCATTTTTACACTTTGTTGAATTACCTTATAAAAAGTAATATGAATTAATGCAGAAGACTTTTTCTTTTTTTTTTTTTTAATGTTTAATTTATTTACACATGTATTTTGGATAGGACAAATATTTCAGTGAATTTGCTTTTTGTTTTTGACTCATTTTTAAATATTTCTAGAATAAATCCAAAATATTAAGCAAATATGTGAAGAAAAACTTCTGAGATGAATTTATGGAGAAAAAGGGATTTGTTATCATAAATAAGCAACATTCATAATTTAAAAAGGACTATTCAGATATAAAATTTATTCCCCTTTAATTTTTTATTTGTGATTTTTTTGTTAAAAAGATTTGTTCAAAGTGTTGATTTAAATTTTCACAAAACCATCTTTGCGGTAAATGATATTCACTATTATGATTGCCTCCCCTTCAAAACATAGAATAGTAATTTTGAAGATATGCCATAATGAATTTTAATGAAAACATTTTTGTTTATAATAAGTATTGTTGCTTTTATAAAAAGAAAAAAAGCATTTTAACAAATTAAAGAATTTAATCAAAAGTAAAAATAAAAAAACAAAACTTTGTCCTTAATTTAAGGAAGTAATTAATGCTTCTTTTTTGAGCATGGCCACACAATTACTGGCAGTGTGATTTTTTTTTTTTTTTTTTTTTTTGCAAATGCTTTTTCTACATTTGTGAAGCCCTTTTTGGTCTTGATATTTTTAAAATTTTGTTTGAAAAGCTTTTCTATGTAAAATAAAATGTCAGTGTATTCTGTCTTTTAGTGTGGTCGATTATATTTGTGGAGCCTGACTGCATGCCTTGCTTCATTGCATGGTTGTTATATTTCAGGATGAAGATGCTACCAAGCCTGTCATCGCACTTGATGAAAACACCAGCACAGACACTGAACATGCACCAACACTGACAGAACAAGTGATTTTCATTTTGTGTCTTTTTTTTTTTTTTTTTTTTTTTTTTGTGGTTTTGTTTTACTTTTTTTTTTTTTTTTTTATTAATACATTACTCAGCACTTTTTTCTTTTATTATTATTTAAAAAAAAAAATTTTTTTGCCATTAAGTTCACTGCTTCAAAGTTGCTTGCTAATCCTTCCCAGCATCCCACTTATTGCAAATATCCTTCGGAATCAGTTCCAGGGTTGATACCTGCAAGCTTTGCTATAATTTATTTATTATTTTTTATTTTTTTTATTTATTTATTTTTTTATTTTTTTTTTAGAAAATGTTCTCAGCAATATTTTTTTTATTTTATTTTAACTACAGCCATTTTCTTCACAGTTTTTGTCATTTGCATGTGTCTATATACACGATCCAAGACTTTGAATAATTTTGAATAAATTCTTTGATTATATCATGCTTAGATGTTTTAAGTACACATTTAAAACTTGAGTAGATGGTAATATTGAAACTTCAAACATGCTTGAATTAAGAAAGAATTGTTTCAGAACTCTTGGCACAGTCATTCCTGTCTTGCAATGAATTGGTCAAGGGAAGAAACACCTTTTTATAAAATTGTTTAGAACACCTGTAAACACATTCTGATTGCAGTTAGTTTTCATTTCTGAAATTGATAGTTTTGCTTTTTGGACCTTTAAAAAAAATGTTCAAATCGGTATTTTTATTATAAGAATATCAATGTTTTCAGTGTGTAAGATACAGCTTGGAATTTTATTTTTCTTAATTCCAAATTTTGTTTGAAGAATTGAACTTTTTCTTTATGCTGTTAATGATATTTTGGCTGTTTCATTCTTCAGCCTTCAATAGAAAAGAAAATAAGAGCCAAGTTCTCAAAGTTATAGACAATGCATCTCCATTTTGGATCTGACCTGATCGCAGAATAGACATGGACTGAGAAATTATTCCACAAATGTACTTGGTTCTTCAATTATAGGATAGATATTGAAGCAAGAAAAAAGATAAAGAAATAGTTGCTTTTTTGCTTTCTTCTTTATTTTCACTACACATTATAAAACTGCTGAAGAATGAATCAGATGAAATGTAATAATGACAAGAATCCAAAGGGTGAGAGCACTTAACAAAATTGAGAATGTTAAAGACAGAGTTACAGATTTCTGTGTTTATATACACACGTGATATCTACAAAGTAAGGTATGTAAGGGCATTTGTGTGAAAATGAAAGCAAACGACTCGGTTGAAATTTGAAATTAGATTCCTGATTACATTCACAATGCCAATGACTTTTATGCTACGGGCACATTCTCAGATGTTCACAATCTCATTTGGTGCTAGCTATATCTTGTTTTAAAGGAATTTTAGGTAAAGTTTGGATAAGTTATTTTAATGGTACCTGCTATGGAGTTGCTAGGTAGGATTGTGTGTCTACTTTTGTTATGGTTGTTGGGATTATCTGTGGATTTCTGTATTTTACTTCTGTGTATTTTGTTGACTCAGCATTTAGCATTGTAGAGGATCTCCACTTTTGTTTTGAATACTATTCTATACATGCATATATAATATATATATTTATATATGTATATATATAAACTAAAAAAACATAATGAGCCAGAACCTACCTACCTAGGTTTCACCTATCTGATCATCAGGGTAACACTGGCTAAAGAGGTTTGGCATTTTATTGGTTAAAACGGCCACCAGAAAAAATAAAAAAAATTAGCATAAAAAAAGACAAAGTTTACTGGAAAAACGGCCACACGAAAAAAAAAAAAAAAAACCAAACCAACTATCCTTTTATCCAAATAACTGGTCTTTTTTGTGTCTACAACCATTGAGAATTTCCAATCTCTGGTTGAGTAAAATATTCGGGTTATTATAAGTGGTTATAGCGACTTTTTCCTTTAGTTCTTACTCTACTTGTTGTATTGAGCACTTTTATGTTTTAACTAAAGTTACTGTCATTTTTTTTTTTTTTGGCTAGACATTGCAGTGCGGATTGATTATTTTCAATCAGTACAGATGTTTTTAGTCTTTTCTTTTTTTTATTGAATTTTTTTCCCTCATAGCAGTTTGTTGAATATTTTTAATTTACAAATTGTATTATCTGGGTCTTTTCACACTAAAACATAATATATATATATATATATATATATATATATATATAAGAAATATAGTCTTATGATGTGCTATATTTATGGGATAAAGTGCTCAATATCAGAGATAGAGCATGTGACTTCTATGTTCACTTTTATATTTATTTATTATATAGCCCTGTAGGTTATGAATAATTCTACACCCTGTAATCCTTATCCCACAGATGAAATGTTATCAGCCTTTGACTAATATACCGCTATTGCTATAGCAGACATTCGGATGAGTGACATTGCTGAGTTTCAACAGCTTGGACTTTCACAGCTTGAATCCATGATGCTGTGTTGCTTGATGGCAAATCATCCCCATTCCCTTTGTGTTACTTTGATAAAAAACAAGTTCCACTTAGACAGGGTTTTCCTGAGAAAATGCTTCCCTCATGTCAACATTCTTGGTCTCTTGAAGTCCAGGGTCAACTGATGTCTATCTTACTAATTCTCATAATATCCTCTTACTCCCCACCCCGTTCTTTACAGTCTCATTCAGTAACCCTCTACCTTTGTTTGTTGAGTGGCATATCAAATCCTTATGGGTCATTTGATGCTGAAATCTAATTTTCCTGGGAGTGTTAGTGATTTCTTTTACTAAAAAATATATTACTGGTAATTTTTTTTTTTTTTTCTTCAAAAACGCGTTGCACATTTTTTTACTATAAAAATGTATTTTTATACTTCCATAGTGTTTTGACCCCAGTTTGGGGGATTAACTATTTGCCCATAGCTGGTAACCTAACAGGTGCTACCACGCAAGGTTAGGGTGGTCCTGGGAACAATTGCAATTAAAAAACCATTCCACACTCCTCAAAACTTCCTAATCAGAGGCCTTGCTGTCAGATGTAGTATATTGTCATACCCAAGACGTCCTCTACCTTGAGTAGCCCTTGGGCCTTGTAGTGGGTGAAATATAAGTATGAAAAAAAAGTCAATTTGACATTATCAACTAGAAAAGATTGAAATCTCTATTCAAATGTTTTTCATAGGCAATATTTCTTTTGTCTTGCACATATATAACTATAACTTATATGCACTTATAACTGCATGTTTAAGAAATTTAACCCATTACCACCTGGCATCAGTTTAAACCGACACTTTTTTCCCTGTATATTGTAACAATTTTGCTTAAAGTTTCTATTGTCTTGATTTTAAATGAATACTTGGAAATTTTCCCACATATTTAAATGAGATTTTCACTTTAGAAAATTCTAGCTTATAATTCTAGCTTAATAAATATACAAAAAAAATAAAGCGTTAGTTTAAGCTGCCACCTGGAGGATATGGTTTTAAAATATGCTAGCTTTCTTTTTCTTCCCTCACCCCCAAGTACATTTAGAAAGACAGAAAGCTTCTTTTCAAAACATTTCTCAAATCATTATCTCAGTACTTGATGCTTGATCTTTTGAAATGAAAATGTCACAGTAGGGGAGCAGCTACTAAATGATCATTTTATGATACTAATTTAATTTCTTTAAACAATGTCTTGGTTAGCGTTTGATCTTTGCTTTTCTTTTTAGGCTTTTTAATATGCATTTTTCAAATGACTAACACTTTTTTGTAAATTTCCTTCTGTTATTTTTCTAACTCTACTAACTCTATTTTTTGTCATATCATTTTTTTCTTTTATGCCTGTTTACTAATTACCTTTTAAACTTTTGCTTGTGGCGTTTAAAATAAATTTGAAAGGATTGCTGTTTGAAACAATGTATTTATTCAGTAAGCAACTCTGTTTTGTGGTCCACTGTATATGTTATACATTGCCAGCAGCAGACATACTAGGATCATGACAGCAAGACTATAAGTGATGTAGGGACCAACATCTTTTTTATAACCTTTTGTCACTTTTAATTTAATGGTTGATAACAATTTATCTTGCTTCCAGCAACTACAAATAAAAAAGAAAGAAAAGATAAATACAATTAATTGATTGAAGTTGCATGTTAAAGAAGGTGTTTTCTTATAATAACAGGAATAATAGCAAAATTATCCAAATTGTGTAAAAGCAAAATTGTCCATTTGTTAGATTAAGCTTTAAACTGTTGTATCTTAGAAATGATTAAAGATATCATACTGGAATTTTCCAAGATTTTTATAACACTATTGAATTCTAATTTGAGCAATAAGAATGTGTAATTACTCTCCAAGCTTGACAGATGAATTGTGATGAAATTGATCATAAATGAAAATGACATGTTCATCATTAATTAATCATAACTAAGTATCGAAAGCTCATGAAGGATTGAAATAAAATTATATATATATATATATATATATATTGTTCCAGAATCATATTCCAACTAACTCAAGATGATCTTGGCCCTCTCGAACCTTCTAACTTTCTGTCCTGGAGTCTCAAGGTGCCTCATATGTTTCATGTATGATTTCATTTTCAAGTGTTTTTTTACTGCTCTTTGGACTGCCATAGTTGAAACTCCTCTCTCATGTGCTAAATATCTTATGAATTGTGATGGATCTTTTCTAATTGATTTCTTTAACTCTAAATTGAAATGATGAGACTTCTTCCTGTTGTGACTGTTTGATCCAATTTTCCTCTCTACTCTTCCCTCTATTTTTTTAAACTTATTCACTTTTCTCTTGATGTTTCTTGAATAGACTTTGAAGATGGAAATCAGAGTATTAATATTGGTACCATTACTGAAGGCCTGAATGATCTTTTTCCTCTCACCATTGCTCATCTGGAAAGACGGTGGTTCTGACACAAAATGATTTTAACCTGTTCTCTTTCTGTCTGAATAACTCGAAGTGTTTTTTAGTGATTCTTATGACAAACGGTGTCAAGATGGCGAAATATCTGAAAACCTGTGAAAAAAGAAACTCAATTAGTGGTTTTTAGATATTAAACATTTTGTGGGATAGATAATTATGCTGTTAAACCCTGTGTGTGTATCTCCCGATATATATATATATATATATATATATATATATATATATATATATATAATGTATAGAGAGAGGGAGAGGCAGAGTACATTGATAGTATATTCAACCTACACAGGAGTACCTGTGCATATTAATACATTTCAAAACTTAATAATAGTAAGGATTTAACAACATATCACTTTACTATATGCTATCATCTTTGAAGGCATGGGTAAACTAGTATTAATGTAAGATTCATTACTGGTCATGATTAGGGGGATTAATTTTTTTTTTTTTTTGTTGTTAATAAACTGTTCTTCCTTTATTGCTATATGCTAATATAATTAGAAAATATATTTAAAGACTCATACAAAAAACTAATAT